AAATGTCAGTATCGTTTCAGTTTATTATAAAATCGAAATTGAACTTTAATTATCCCTAATCAAAGTTACGTAATCAGTGCTCAGATTGACTAATCACATGTTAAAATCATAAAGTATACAGTTTAAACACAATTAACCAATTAAAACAATAAGAATATTACGATTTAAAGCTGAAAATTATTCTACCTAACCTAAACATGCCTATAAAAACGTGATTATGAAACTATTAATACCAAATTAATCTAATCATTCACATTATTCTAAAACTTATATTTTAAATATGATTTTCTAAAATTATTTAAACACTAATCCAAAATCAACTACACACTATGCTAAAATCTAATATCTAATTAAAAACTTTTCTAAAATTTATTAAACTTATATGAAATACAAATCAATATAAATGTGGGAGATATATTAATTCAGTTTTTGCTTTCCATGAACTCAAATACCTAAAGCATAAATTGTCCCTACATCTGTATTCATTTATATTACAATTCTAACTTAATATTCCAAATTTTAAGTCTAAATATCACAGAAATTTATAAAACTTAATGCTAATTTTAAAATCTACTCGTAAAATATAATGCTAACCTAATAAGAAGTGAACTATGTACATATATATCACAGAAGTCTATTAAACTTATAGCTAATCTGTAACTCTACTCTTAAAATATAACATGAATTTAATTATAACATGCTAAACTAACAAATAGTAACCTAAATATCACCGATATATACTTATAAACTAAAACTTTATAACAAATCTGGCAAAAAGATACCTTTAATGCAAGTTGCTGTTGTTGCCAACAATAATGTTAATACCATTTGATTAACCCGTGAAAGGACATATTAGTTTTTTATTCAAATTGTGTTAATTTTCGCGAAGTATTAAAACATTAGGTTTTGTTATAGTGTTAAAATTATTTTTTTTATAATTACAATGTGTATAAATAAGTTTATTTACTATTAAAAGTTAGTTAAATAAAAAGTTTTGTATAACATTATGGAAATGTAAATTAAACTATCAGGGTGTTTTCTTTTGGTAAATATGGAAAAGTAGTGTAAGACTTAATTTGAGTTATCTTTGGGGTTTCAATAATATTATGGCCTTTGAAACAATGGTAGGCGCGGGTTTTGAGGCTAATCCTCTCTGCTCCATCTGAGAGAGATGTTAAAATAGGACATGAATTCTGACACCTTTATCATTAGTAATTTTATTTTGTTAATAATGTCTAGATTGGGGAAAAATCGTTTTTAGATTCTAGGCATTCTGGCCCTGACACCACAATCTTGAAAAATAGGGAGTCTAAAATAAAATATTTTTTAATGCATATGATGGTGTATTGGTTAGGTCCGAACCCCCCCACACCGCTGAAAGCTAGCATTCAAAGGCTCCCACAGTCCTATCCCTTTACAGTCATTTGGAATTCGAATTACTGTGATCCTTTTGTTAGTTTTTTTAGTAGTTCGAAATAAAGAGATGTGTTAAGTCGTTTTAATACTTTAGCGTGAATTTTTTACTCGTGAACATTACAATCTAGCAACGTCTCCAGAGCCTTGGTTGAAGTAGTACACATGGCACCACAAGCAGCATGTACGCTGAACTCCCTGTAGTAGTTTGATATTGCATTTTTTGTCTAAAGCAGTCCACCAGATTATTGAAGCATAAGCTAGAATTGGTCTAATTACACTTTTATAAAGTCAATTTGTCATAGTAGGACCCCATTTCATGCATATAGTTCTCCTACATATCGCCCATCACAGATGTGCCTTGCTGATTCTATCCTCTATGTGACCGGAAGTTATTAACAATTAATGCATTTTCCGTGAATATGTACATTTGTATGGGAGGTATATGAAAATGTGGACCGATTTCGCCCATTTTTAACAGGAATCAAGCTTTCATATGGAAACAATTGTGTGCTGATTTTTATGAAATTATATCGCATAGTTTTTGTGCAAATTGTATTAGATTAGGGTCTCAGATGAATATTACTTGGTGTTACACACGGAATGACAAACTTATATATACCTTTTATCACCACTGATGGTGGTGGAGGCCCTCCACTGGAGGGTATAAAAATCTTCCTTTACGAGTTTTGAAAATTCTAGCTCTTACAGTTTCCCAGATATACGAATTTTTGCATTTAATTTATATGGAAGGTGCCAAACCCCTATTGAATGTCAGAGTTCTTCGTGCAAAATTGAGTATTCTAGCTCTAATAGCTTTCCAGATACTCGAATTTTTGTACTTAATTCATATGAGATGTACCAAGACTGCCTAAAAGTTGCTATTCCGCCCATTTTTGTCCTAAACATTCAATTTGATACTAAAGTTCCTCCGAAAAAAAAATGAGGACTCTAGCTGTTACATTTTCTCAGATATACTAATTAAAGATTTTGTTTGTATGGGAGGTGCCACGCCCACGTACAGGAAGACACTAAGAAAATTTCAGTAAAATTACATATAGATCCGTATAGGAGGTACCAAAACCCCCTTATGAAAGTCCACCCATTTTACTCATAAATATCCACGTGGATGTTAAAGGTCTTTGTGAAAAATTAAGATATTCTATCTCCAATAGTTTCCCAGATCAACGAATTTTAATATATAACTCATATTGGAGATAACACGGCCCCTTTTGCTAGTCCGCCCATTTTTGTCCTAAACATTCAATTTGATACTAAAGTTCCTCCGAATGACAACTCTAGTTGTTATATTTTCTCAGATATACTAATTTAAGATTTTCTTTATATGGGAGGTGCCACGCCCACTATAGCTAGGCTTATGTGTTCATATGGATGTCAAAGTTTTGTATACAAAATTTTAGGACTGTAGCTCTTGCGGTTTCTAAGATATGCTACTTTTAAAACTTATGTTGTATGTGGGCGTGGCACGTCGCCCACTTAAAATCTTGAAGTATAAAATAGCCTATAGTTCCTTTGAAACATACAGGAAGAGACTGTGAAAATTTCAGAAAAATCGGTTCAGCCGTTTAGTTGTCTATAAAGTCCAAACAAACATACAAACACACATTCATTTTTATATATCGTCACCTAAAACGTAAACGGCCCTATCTAACATTTTTAAAATTTTACAGGAGAAGCAAAAAACTATTGAAATTGGAAAGTTTGTTTCTATCATCTCGATTTATTTGTAATAAATAAACAAAATGTTTAATAGTGAAACCTATCAGGTATTATTATAGTGGATGAAATGGATAAATTGGACTTTTTACCTCTAATATTTAAATGTTTTTGTTTTTGTCAATGAAATCGCTAATTTTGTTATGTTTTGATGCAATACATTATAATCAACAATAAAATTGATTTTGAATTTTTGGTTAGTTAGGGCCGTTTGCGTTTCAGGTGACGATATATAGATGGGGGTGCTACTCTCCCTCCAATTTTTCCACCAAATAATCATATGGATGTCAAAATTGTCCATAAAAATTTGAGGACTCTAGTTGTACCATGTTCCGAGATATTCTTTTGAAGAAGTGGGCGTGGCACCCCTCTCACTTGCAATTTCAAAATAAAAAGTAGCCTATAGTTCCTATACACTGAAAATTTCAAGAAGATCGCTTCAGTGGTTTAGCTTCCTATAAGGTACAAACAAACAAACAATCAAATAAACAAACATACATTGATTTTTATATATATAGATACATAGATACATACATAGATATAGAAGATGAAAATATACATATTTGTTAGATTTTTAATAAATATTTAAAAAGTTTATTGGATAAGGTATCTTCACAAAATATTTTCGTTTTCTAAATGACATCGTTTTCGCCTTGATACAATTACTATCAGTTTTTCCTTGAATGTATTTTACAGCATTTAACCACCGGTGCTTGACATCTCTTTTCTGCAAAATAAAATTAATAGATAAAGATTAGTTATACATATTTATGTCCTTACTAAAAAATACAAATGTTAATAATGATGCCTACACACTATATACTTATAAGTAGTTACATTTTTATTTTATACTAGCTATACCCAGTGTGCTTTGCTACCCTAAGAGCAATGTAAATAAAAAACACTTTACGATTTTGAAGATTCTAACTTTAATAGTTTTCCAGATATACATTTTAAAATCCCCAATATGTAATTGGGGATGTCACGCAAATTATTGTTCGCCAATTTTTCCAAACGTTAATTTAGATTTTAATGTAACCTATGAAAAATTTTTATAGTATAATATTTTCCCAGATGGGAATTGCCCAGGTCCTATTGAAAGTCCGTCCAGTTTTCTCTAAATATTCACATGAATGTCAAAGTTTTTCATGTAAAATTTTTGTATTTAATTCATATGGGAGGTTCCAATTTGCTAGTCCGCCAATTTATAACCAAAATGTTCACATTGATGTGTCGTGTGCACCCTGTAGTAGGGAAAAATTTAAGAAGAAGAAGTTAAGTAAAAAGTTGGCAAACAAAAACAAAACTATGCCAGAAAAAAAAAACTATAGAGGACTGAATAGCTGAAATTAAATTGAATAAGAGGGAACCATATTGGCAACCGAGGTTTCTCGGTCACTAATGACCAAAATGTCGGTCCTTTTCATTTTTCCCTGCCCGGGCTCCACCCGTGGCCGTCAGAGAAAAAAAATCTTAATTTAAATTAAATAATTCCTTTTTTATTCATAAAAGTTTTAAACTAAAACTTCAAATAAAAGTAAAACCAAATAAAATAAAACTTAAAACTAAATTAAATTAATCTTAAAACTAAATAAAGCCAGAAACATAAAACTAAATCAGCCAACTCTGAGCCACGCCATCACCAGCTCCATCCAGCGTGGGACTACTTTAGCAGATCCGCACCAACAGTCCTGTGGTGCCCAGGTATTAAGGTTTTCGACATAGAAGTGTACCTCTTACCCGAACGACAGGACGAACAGAACCAGTCCTTTTAGATAATTTCTATATATAAAAAAAAATAAAAAAATTTAGTAAACAAAAAAAAGCTATATATTCGTTTATAGGCATACCTTACGTTAGTTGCTCGAAGCCAGTCCGCGGGTTGAAATTGATCCAGGCGTGCGCGTAAGGATAGGATTGAGCTCAGGCCTAGTTAAGAACAATCCCGCGGTAGATTTGAACTCATAGGTTGCCGGAAACCAGTATATACAAAAAAAAAAGAAAAAAACAAATTATTTAAATGATTCTTATAATATATTATTCAATACTTACCTGAAATACCCGAACAAACTAATACGGACGGACAGAAAACCTGTACATTCACCACCTGTCGTCAAGCACCGTTGATCCTTGGGAGATTAGTCCAGTCTATTGCGAACCTGAAAGTAAAAGGGGAATTTAAATTAGAAAAAAAAAGAAGAAAAAAAACTCAAAGTAAATGTAAAAACTTAAATTAAACTTAAAATCTAAAATTTGATTAAATCTTAAAATCTAAAAGCTAAAATCCTAAAAACTAAATTTTGTTAAAACTTAAAAACTAAATTTTGTTAAAACTTAAAAAACTAAAGTTTGTTAAAATCTTAAAACTAAAACTAAAAACTAAATTTGCTAAAAACTAAAATTTGCCAAATTGTTAAAAACTTAATTTGTTAATAATTATCATCTGAAGTTGGATAATTAAAATTTGCTAATATTTTAAAATTTTTCTAAAACTCAAATTGAATCTTTGCTAAGCCTAAATTTCGATGAGACATTGTTAATTTTTTAATAAACAAAAACCTTTATAATGTTTAAATGAAAATTTAAAAGTTTGTTATCATTAATATGACTGGCTAACTTTATTAATAATAAGTAGGGTGACTAAATGTTTGCGGGGAAGATCTGGGACGTCGAGGAAGATGATGTCATGGCGAGGATGAATCCTCGAGAGGGAGGGTCATAATTGGTATGACCGTAGGGAGATGCAACACTACTTTTGGCCCCTTTTCTTTTTAAATACCCTAAATGCTGGTATGAATTTTGTGTCAGTGTGTGTTCGTGGTCCAGATTGCCGGCAAGAACCACCCCATCCGGCGAGCTTTAGCCGCGCAATACGCGGTCATACCAGCGCCGCTAGCAATCTGGCCACTCTGTCCCTTTTTATTCTTTATGTTGTCTGTTTGTTTATTTAAACAAACAGTTGACACACCACACCATTACATAAATGGCGCCCAACGTGGGGCCCGAACCCACGACCCTGAGATTAAGAGTCTCATGCTCTACCGACTGAGCTAGCCGGGCGCATTTATGTAACGGTATGGTGTGTCAGCTGTTTGTTTAAATAAACAGCAGTCACCCTACTTACCGCCGATTATTAATCAAGTTAGCCAGTCATATTAATGATAACAAACTTTTAAATTTTCATTTAAACATTATAAAGGTTTTTTTTTATTAAAAAATTAACAATGTCTCATCGAAATTTAGGCTTAGCAAAGATTCAATTTGAGTTTTAGAAAAATTTTAAAATATTAGCAAATTTTAATTATCCAACTTCAGATGATAATTATTAACAAATTAAGTTTTTAACAATTTGGAAAATTTTAGTTTTTAGCACATTTAGTTTTTAGTTTTAGTTTTAAGATTTTAACAAACTTTAGTTTTTTTAAGTTTTAACAAAATTTAGTTTTTAGGATTTTAGCTTTTAGATTTTAAGATTTAATCAAATTTTAGATTTTAAGTTTAATTTAAGTTTTTACATTTACTTTGAGTTTTTTTTTCTTCTTTTTTTTCTAATTTAAATTCCCCTTTTACTTTCAGGTTCGCAATAGACTGGACTAATCTCCCAAGGATCAACGGTTCCACAGTGGGGCAGAATGGAAATTTTTGGAAATAAATCTGGCATTTCTAAACGGCTGATCCGATCGGGATAAAATTTGGCGTGAGCGTAGCCAAGGAGTATTCGAGTTTAAGTTTTGAAGATGAACCCTGCAGATGCCCCAGGGACGGCGCTGTGGCGGCTCAAAGTAGGGTACCTACGACATGTAAAATTTTTAAACTCGTGCCATTTTTTGTTTTTCACCCAAATACAAAGATTTTTATATTTTGTGAAAGCGCTCGACGAGATCTTGAAAAAACATGCTTGGACATACTACTTATCTCTTATAATATCCGAGTTATAGGCATTTAAAAATTTAGTGATACAAAATTTACCATACCTTGGTCCGCCTTTTTTTTGAATACCGGGCATAATTTTGGACCAAATGGACTAAATTTTTTCTTGTTAGTTAGACAACAAAATTTCCAATAATATACAAAAAATTTCAGATCAATATCATTTACAGATCCAAAAATATACGTTTTTTAATTAAAAAATTCAAAAAATTTTAGATTTTTGGCCGTTTTTTGCCAAAAATGTGTCTTAAATCTTTTATTAATAAAATAAAATTTTCTTTAAGAACATATAACAATTTTATAGTTTTCTAAAAGGTATCTTTACGCAGAACGCTTTGGCGTAAAAACCTTGTCCTATTTTTTGAAAATGTTGCCACTGCGTCCTTCCGAATATGACCTATTTTTTATCAAAACTTCAACTTTGGGCGACATGTTCTAAAATCCCAAAGCTGAGATCAGAAAACTGAAAGCAGTTTTGGAAACCTCAATATGTTTTCTATTTACTCCAAAAGTATTTTCCCAGCCCTGAAAGAAATGTGGACCCTATGGGCAAAAAAGTAAAAAATCCCATTTTTGGGATTTTCATTCCTATTTTTGGGAATTGCGGGATGCCCTTTGACCTTTTCAATTTTTTTTTTTTGCATTTTCTTATTTGAAATGACAAATTTAACAAGCGTTGAAAATTTCATTTTCATTTATTTTGTTCATAAATAAAGATTTTGTCATATATTACATATTTGTTTAATTTCTAAAACTATGATTTATATCAAAATTTTAATAGTGTCGCAGATAGCTACAACAATTTAGTCCATATTTATCCCTTAATATCATTTTTTAGTTAGATATGGAAATTCTCGACCCTTTACAAAAAATTTCAAGCCAATATCTCAATTACATTCAAAAATATGTTCATTTAAACCTGTGTCCTTTAATTTCATCTTTTTCATATTTTAGTATTAAGTATGACAGAACATACATTTGGTGTTGAATAAAATATTTGGACAATTTTTAAAAATTATTTAGTTAATTATTTTATTATAATATTGTATATAAAATAAAAAAAATTATAATTTTATTATGAGCCACGCACAACAACACCTAAATCACCCCACACAAATTACCTTTCCCGTCCACCGAAATATAAAACACAATTTAATACAATATCATCCGTTAGTATAATAGCTTTTTTTATTTGAACTGTTTATCTTAAACATAATACAATTAATTCTTACAACCTACTTATATAGTTAATTCCTAACACTACTTATTTTCTATAAAATAATCTGTCATATCGGTATACATATCCAGAAGGTAATATAAGTCCTTTAAATCTTCCTTGTTTTGAGATGATAGAGTTTCATAACAAATCCATCTTTTTCGCATAGTTGAAAGAACAGGATCAGAAGATAGAAGTAAACTATTAAAAATATCTTCATTCTGTGATTGCCTGGAGCATTTTCTTGAGCTGAATAGTTGAACATGCTTAAAATCTCGATTCCTCGCTTCCTGGGCTTCTTCTGTTAACTCTCCAAGTGGAAGAATATTCGATTCAATTATTATTTGACCATGACACAATACTTTGTGTACTGTTGGTGTTAGTTCCCTCCATGGATACAGAGATACAAGTAATTTAGAAATTTCAGATGTGTATTCCCCAAATCGATTTTCATTAATTTTATGTTTACTATTCAGTGCCATTAAAATAGTTTTAACTCTTCGAAGCAACTCCTTGTCGATTCCAGTTATTTTTGAAGTAATTTCAAAATCACGAAAAAACCTTCTCGACGTATTACCGTCATTTGTACTACCTCAACTTGAAAGTGGTTTGTCGATGTTTAATCCCATCTGAACTTTAAATTCTTCTTGGATTCTGCTTTTTTCCGCAGCTCTCAGTTCTTTCAATTCTTCATTATTTTTTGTTGATTTAGTAGGATAGTTTGTTTTTTTTTTCCTGGATCGCCTTGTATGATGGTAATATATTGTGTCCTTTTTCATGCAGAGCTTTCCTTAATATTTGGTACTTATTTCGACTGAGACCCAGTTCCAACATAAGCGCTATTGCTTCCTCTTCAGTAAAATTTGATTATGATGTTGGAGTTGGTATACTTTCCACAATTCGCTTAAGTCGTTTTGGTGATGCATTAGGAAGAATAGTTGCAATATGTACGACATCCATATGTTGGTTTTCCTTTTTCAGCATTTCGTTAAATGTATCAGCAATTTCATCATTTGAGATTGAAAAAAGTTTTTGTGTGACCCTCTTTTTTTACCTTGAACATAAGTCTTCGTATGACTTGCAAGGCGCTCCTATTGATGTGTTGTAAGTTGAGATTTCCGTAGTAGTTTCCATCCAACTACAAAATTTTAATCGAAATTTCTTTTGATTTCCATCCACAGACTTACTTTTTACATCAAAAAGTTTTCAATTTTTGATATGCCTGTTTTGTCTACTTTTCTACTACAGTAGTTTTCCGATTTAACGACCATTCAATTCTACGAACATCGCATTTAACGAACAAGCTAATTTTTCCTATTGACTACCTTAAATAACGAACAAAACTTGTTTTTTGTACTCTGTTTAACGAACTAATAAAAATATTATTATTTAAATGAAGATAAAATGACATTTATCAAAAATAACAAATAACCTAAGTTGTAGCAAAAAACTATACCGTTGTTTTAAGCGGTGCTTTTGTACCCAAAACTGTAACACATTCTGGGTTCTTATTAAATTTTAGTTCGATGTAGCTATGTCCGTCCGTCCTTCAGATAATGACTTTAACGCTCATTACTCGCTTAACAATACGAGTACGCCGATGAAATTCGATACAAACATGTTCTATACTAACCGAAATCTCTAACAAATTTTATGGGAATCGGTCCATAATTGACCTTACCCTCCATATCAGGCCCCCTTAAGAAAATTACTTCAACGCTCATTACTCGCTTAAAAATACGAGTATAGATATGAACTTCGAGAAATAACTTTAACGCTCATGACTGAATTAAAAATACAGCGATTAAATTCGAGACAAATATGGTTTGAAGGTGGGTATATAAGATTCGGAATTTTGTGTTTTGTGCTATTTTTATAAAAAAAAAGAATTAATTTTTATAAAATACATTTAAAAAATATTTTATGTACCTATTTTTAATCATTTTCCTACCAAAAACCCACGTTTTAGTTAGTACTGCATATAACGAACTTTTCAATTTTACGAACAGGCCT